GCGGTCAAAGCAATGAATGTACGGAAGCAGCTTTAATGCGTGACGCGACGGTAGCAGGAGATGTTTGCGTTTGTTATTGGACAAAAGAGAAAAATTGTGGCCGAGTTTTAAGTTGGCGGATGTTAGGCGTGCGGCAAACTGGCTGATGTGCTGATGACGGCGACGTTGCGTTGCGGCTTCGCTGCGCTAGCGTTGAGACGACTGCGCGCGTTGTTAACGATTAGTGGCTTTAAAGGTAAATGATTAAAACGCATACATAAAAAGTAAGCGCTCACTCACGCTAGGCGAGCGCGCGTGTGCTTTTGAGCAGAAGTAATTAATGTCGTTGAAAATGTTCGGTATTTGTTTATTGCTTGAATGGTGGAGGAAATTATTGGCTGGCTAGGTGTTTATGCTTGTTTGATTTGTTGTTGTACCATTTTTGTGTTTTTTGTTTTTTTCGTGCGCGTGAAAGAACTGCAAAAAGATAAACAAGTGGCGTGTATTGAAAATTTGCCGAGCAAAACAAAGAATGTGAAGAAATTCAAAACAGTCGATGTTTCAAGCAACAACAACAAAAACAACAGGCTATAAAGGTCATGCCATAATTGCCAAAATAAGTGCGCGCATTTATATGAAGGTAAGGAAAAGGTTGGCGCTGCCGGCGTGCTACGTTGCATGCCACACAAACGCAGTTGAAGAGAATGAGCAGCAGTCATGTCTATATGTGTGTAAAATATAGCAAAGAAAGCGCAAACTGCAAACGTAAAACTGACAGCACGGACACGGATCCGCTGTTCTTGCAACGTTGAATGAGTACGACAGCATTACCGCTGGCATATGTATATCAGCGCCAAGGGGCAGTGAGGCAGAAAAATATAAAACCTGTGTTTGAAATTGACTTGTTACACCGTTACTTTGGTTTGCTAGAGGTTGTTCATGCAACACCGGCGTGTTTTTTAGTTTTTGCGCACATGTTGCATGCAGACAAATGCTTCTATGCATGCACATGCTATATATGTTTCAATAATAGCATAACAATGTTGCTTAAATTTTTTGATATTTCTATGAAAAAGATGTTTTTTTGTTATGAAAAAATTAATAAAAAAAAATTAAAGAAAAAAAATTATTTCAAAAAAAAAAGTATAGCGATATGCAGCGGAAAACGCGCTTAAAGGAAATAACAAGTTTACGCCAACTTTTCTAAGATTGTATGTGCGGCGCAACGTAATGTTGCACGCACGTCAGCCGGCTTTTATGCTTTGTTTGTTGCTCGCAACAGCAGCCAAGAAAGGAAGGAAGTTTGCCGCACAACAATTCAAGTTTTGCCAACTTTTCCGCATTGCAAGTTACATACATACACAGCTACACTTGCAACTTGGCGTTGTTTACGTTTCTTTAACGTGCGCGTTTATACTTTCCTCTCTTCTAAGTAGCTTGTCATGGACTCGCTGCTGACGTACGCTTATTTGCTACGCAGAAACACCACAATAACAACAAATAATGTGTTTAGGTGATTTATTTCTGCATAAAGAATGCAGCATGCAACCTTGCAACACGTGCTGTGACGTTAAAGCAAAATCAACAAACGCTGTTGCGCCTCGAAGCGCCATATGTCTGTCTGCTGGCCTGTAGGCAGTCGTCGACAAGTGCAATGCACAATTATATTATATATTACTATCTATATGATATGTATATATGTATATGTTGGCGCAAACGATTGTCTCACAGCTATTTTATTCGCAAGCGTCAATAAGGACTTGCTCGCTGAAACGTTTGCTTGCCACACGTGCCTCTGTTTTGTTCTAAGCACACATATGTGTGCATATGTGCGCTGTATGCATACATTTGCATCCTAACGGCACACATTCACTCACCAGCTGCGGAGAGGCACAGCGTCGACTTCGTTGCCTGCATGTTGCAACGACTTACGCCACACTTGTGGCTGCGTAAAGCGCCACTTTACACGTTAAGCGACTCACCGCTAGGATGCTGTTGCGCTTACAACAACAACAATATGTCAAAAATGCCAATCGCAGCCAGACATATGTTTGTTGTTGTGTTGCTTTGGTGCTAGGGCTCGGAAATTGGCGTAACCACATGTTGGATTTGAAGTTGGTCGGTTGCACGTAGGATTAACTTGTCGTTTGGCGCTATCAGCTCAGGTCAGTGATACCGTTATGCTTCAAAATACGTTTAGTTATGTAATTGTTGTTTTTATTTTAACATAAATTTGTAATACTTGCTTTGGTACTGGTCTTGTGTCTGCACTTATGTGAGCGCAGGACATGCAAGGATATTGAATGTGTGCAAATTAATAACTTATAATTGCCGGATTGGCAAGGGTTAATAACACTTATGTGCGGCACTTGCTGGAGAGTGCACGTATGGAAATGTAGGCAAAACTAAACAATATACATAAATTGCGAACAGTATACCTGATATTATTTACACGCGAAGACTTGCTCAAAATAAAATTTTTTGACCTAAGCAGTTTAGATTTTTAAAGCTTTATGCAATTATCATAACAGAAATAACTAAGGGCGGTATTCTTAATGCTATCTAACAGTTAGATTCTGGTTAAAAAAGGTGCTTTACCAAGATAAGTAGTTTCGGTTATCTAATAGATACCTTGTGGTTAAAAAAGGTGCTTTACCGAAAGTAGGTGTATTGGTTAAGTTAACCAGAACTTAACTGACAGATGAATGGTAACCAGACATTGCGAAAACGGCCCTAAATTGCTTAAGAGTACATAATGCTGCACTTGGCTTTGAGATGGTGAATAAAACTTGTGAGAAGTTTGAGTTTTAAATTAAGTCTTATACAGTTTATAATTTTAAGACACTCAAGTAGCAAACATTTGCTTTAATTTAAATTATTTTTGTGCAATATTGATGCATAATTTTTTTTAACCTCTTCTACTCACCACTATTATCACCAGTATTTTATTTGCCCAACTTATCATCTTCTCTTTAAATTTTAATTTAATACATAACTTTCCATTTCCAAGCTTTTTTCATGATTACTTTTCTATTCTCTGAATTATCCATGTCGGTACAGTAGTCTACATTAAGAAGCCTCAAAACCACAAATTACTCACTTATTCAATCCACAGCCAGATTCACATTCATCGACTTTCGATATTATTTGTTCCGATGTGTGTCATGACTAGACTTTCTAGAATTATACGTGTTATTTTTACTTATGAATAACGCATAGTCGTTGAATACAGGGTGTAGCTGTCAATTTTAAAAATAACTAAAGAATTTGTAGCATCATAAGATGTGAAGAAATTCTCACGAGTTTGGGGTAGAGAAATGTATTTCTAAAAAACTTGAAGTATGCAGATGTGCTGACTTTGCTAAACATTTATAGTGCTACATAATTTTTATAGACTTTTTGCTAAGCAAATAAGCCTGGAACTTAGATCTTATGAGTATATTTAGATAAAACCACAAAGCATTAAAAAGGGCTATAAGGGGTTTATAATATTTATTGAATCGTTAAAATTGTTTTTGCAATCGTAAATCGGAGATGACATTGTTTTTCAAGCGTAACAGTTGTTATTAAGTTTTGAAAATCCATACATTTCATAACAAAAGGATTAAGGAAATGCCTCCTTTCAGTTTTGACACAAAATTGCTTAGACAGCCTGTTTCGGGAGCGAAAATTAATTCAAACAGTTTTCGGAAAGTGTGATTGAATCGTATGCCATATTTGAAAATAACTAAAGAGCGGCCACGCGTTGGCTTCCGATCCATTTTGGAAAATAGTACAGATCAATATTGTATGATTATCGAATTATTTTCAAAATTCCTCCTTTCATTTTTAGACCAAAGTGGCTTAGACAATATCTTCATTTTCGCAAGTAGTATAGATTAAATGATTTTCGTATTCTATACTCTATAAAGCAGGCTTGAAGTTAAAATTAATGCGTACAGTGTGCGAAAAACACGATCGCGTTATATACAAAGAAAAGTAATAAAATTTAATTACGAATTACTTTGGTACTCATGCACTCTTCAAATGAAGTAAAATTTATTTACAATTTTGTATATTTTAGTTTATATTATGCAAAAAAATTTCAAAAATTCTCAAAAAATTCAAAATTTTGAAATAAAAAAATTCGTATATGAAATGAGTACTGTTTAATTCGAATTCGCTGAATATGTACAGTATGTAAATTGCAGCAATTTTGCCGTAATATAACTGTTAAATAATTGTATATAAAACTTTTAATTTCTTATTACTTTTCTTTTATAAAATGATATCTGCAATTGTTAATTAAAATTTTTAAGAAAAAACTATATTTATAAAAGTTGTCGATAGATTTTAAACATATTTATGTAAAATATTCTGAAAATTTTGTGGTTTCTATGATAATTAAAAATATATAAATTCATATTTTTTGGATTACAAGTATAATTTTGCTTGTAAATATATTATTTACTAAACTATATAAAAAAAAATCGTATTCAAAACTCGAAAAATATTTAAAAAAAGACAAATAAAAATGTTTTTTACTGTGAAATATATTATTTACAAGACTGTAACTTTCAAAAATTTCGAAAGAGATTGAAAAAATTATATAAAAAATATGTTTACTTAAAAATTTATTATTTCCAAGATATAGTTTTCAAAAATTCGTTTTCAAAACCCAAAAAAGATTAAATTTTTTTTTTCTGTTTGGAAATATAATATTAACAAGACTATAATTTTTTAAACTACTTTTGCAATGAAATAAAAAACATACAAACATAATCTTTTACAAGTTTTACAATTTTAATTTTTTTAATATTCAGTATTATTTCTCCTCTTTCTATCTAAAGCCTTTATACTTTTATTTTTTTATCATTTCAATTTTCTTTAATAAACTACGTCTCCTCCTTCTAACTAAACGCTGAAATAAATTATAAGCCAAACGCTATTCCCCTGCACTAATCACAAGCCAATTTGCTGTCAATACAATTATAATGTTAGTTTTGAAATTTAAGCGAAATGAAAATTTTTCAAAAACTCACCTCAGTGCACATTATTGTTTGAAGATAATAAAATATACAGTTGCCACTGCTTCCTCTTAGTGTATACTCCAATTGGTTGCTGCTGTTGCGCTTGCTGTCCTCTAGCTATGTGTGTGCTTGTTGCTTTTATGGGGCACAAATCATAAACCGACGATTTGAAGTTATGATTTTTTTGCAGCTTCTTCCAAAATAATTGTGCGCTTCTTTTGCTTTAGGCACTCTTCTCTAATACTTTTTGTTACTGTGCTGTATATATTTTGTGTTGAGCGTTCACAAAATGTTTTTGCAAAACAATTTTGTTGCTGCTACTAGTTCTAATAGTTGTGATTCCTAGGGTGCGTATGCCTACTTACGGTACGCACGCTGCTATTACACTTGCTTATTGGCGCAGTGCTAACTTGTCACTTGTTAGTGCTGCCAGTTGTTGTTGTTGCTGCTGCACTTGTGCGTGGTTTTGCGCGCTTATTGTGTTTGCCACAAGAGGTGCTGGCTTGCTGCTTCTTACTACTGCCGCTTTGTTTACACCACTCAATGCGGAAATTTGCTGATTGGTGTGCATATGTCACGCACACATACACACACATGCATATACACAGACGTTAAGATGCTGCAACAACTTTGGAATTTGCACTGCTTCTCTACTAGTTGTTGCTACTGCTGCTATTTTCGGCAAATGTCAATGTGTTGTTGGTAGTGTTTTATTGCTTTTATTGCTAGTTGGTTACACTTGACTTTGGTTTACTGGCTCAGGCGGTGTTGTTTGTTGCAGAGCGCGCGTTTTGTACAAAATGCACTAGTTTCTTATAGTAATACTTGTGTGGTATTTACTTTTAATTTTTACAAATCTTATATTTGCACAGTACGTTGTTGTCACTGGTTTGCTGTTTTATTTTGTGCACATTTTTTTGGTTCTTTTCTGTTTGATTATTCACTTGTCTCTCCAAAATGCCACAACTCGCAGTCAAATTTCATACAAAATTCCAAAAATGTCACTTTTCAACTGTCACTCTTTGTTGTAGTTTTGTTTTCGAAAATATTTTGTATTTGATTTTTTGTTGCATACAACATTTCTTTTTTTAAACTCGTTCACGTTTGCTATACACTTTGTTATGTTTTGCTTACTTGCTTGAAATAAATGATTTTTCGGCAAAATATTTTTTATACGTTTATTTGTTGTATAGCTGCTTATTAGTAATATTTAGATTTGTTTAGTGGAAACAATCACGTACGCGCGTTTTTTTGGAATGAAAAATATACGCGCGTTGTCATTACCCTATTGACAGCTACTAGCTAAGCTAATGTGTCGGCGGCGCTACTATAGTGTTTAGCTTTGCACAAAAATATGATTTCTTCTTTTCGACGAGACTACGACGAAACGAGCTAGCTAGCGAACGAACGTACGTGCGTGCGAGCAACGTTGTACCTTAGTCTACCATGCTAAAATCACAAATAATCTGGCAAACCGAAAGATACGTTCACCAGAGGCACACAGTAGAAACGTTCGAAAATGTGTTGGCTGCGTCGACTGCGCTGCCGACAGTCATCGTACATATAACGTTGCTTCGTCGACGCTGCCGTCGTCATCATCAACAAAGTCTAGCTGTTTGTGTATGTGTGTGTGTGTGCTATGTGTTGTTGCTTAAGCCACACAGCACACTCGACAATGCTACACTTACACACACATACACCACAAGCATTCAGATATGCACGCACACACACACATATACATAGCAATAGAGCGTTTGTGTTGCTGCAGCGGTGACTCGTTTCCTCACTGCGCTTCGTTTTGCCCAACTTCGTTGTGGTAATCTTCATCGTGTGTAGCGCTCGCTTGCTATCTACCTCGTCTCATACATATTGTATGTGTGCAGATAGGTATATACAAGTGTATATAGCTCGTTGTATACCCAATAATCAAGCAGGCAAGCAAGCGTTGCGCCAACGTTTCGTTCAACAGTCTGTTTGTCGGGCTGGCAGCGTGTCGAATGCTCTGTGTACGTACCTACCCAGTTGTCGGCATAGTCGTAAATGTCGGCACGGCACAGTGGGCTTTTCGATTTTCGATAAAATATAGGACACTTTTCTTTTAGAGTTTTCATAATCGTTTTTGCTGGATAAAATAATGTGTATAAAAATCGAAAATTGCTGTCAGATATAATAACCAATATAACCATATTATAACCAAAACTCATATTCCCTGTCAGATAAAATAATATATGTATAACGATTTTATAACCAAAACTCTTATTTTGTTTCAATATAAGTGACTCCTATTATATCATTTTTACTTCGTCTGTAAACTTATGAAAAGTGAAAATTAATCCATTGGATTTTTAAGAGATATGTACGTACATTTTACCCTTTTAAGGTCCTTTACTAACTCCACATGTCTATTCCGGTGTTGATTGTTGTCGAATGGAAAGTCCAAATTCAAAAGTTGATTTTTAAGTACAACGGCTTAATACAAAGCGAACCACGTCCCTTAATGGAGATAACAATATTATAGTCATTTAAACTCTTTATAAATATTTTGGAACATTTGATGTGTCTCTGAACTTTCGACTTGCCTGCACTCAATAGAGGTTAAAAATGTGAAACTGTCAGAGGATTTTCGAAGTAAATCGCTTTTGTACCGAAACTAATAAGGTTTCCTGTGAATGTTTAAGCTTCAAATAATTCTCCAATAATTGTTCGTTGCTGCAAAATACTCGTCACAAATGGCTTAAAGAAAGCCCGTATACACAAAAACAGAACAGATTGCAAAGCCTGAACTATAATGCTTCCCCCTACTATATAAAAAAAAAAAAACTGTCAAACTTTGCTCTAAACTTCACTATAAAAAGCTGAGTGCTTGAATTTTTGTATTATCACAAAAGAAAAATAAAACTGCAATTTTTTGGGAAATATCAGCTGAATTTTTAAGAAGACTAACAATAACTTGGATCGGTTCAATAGAAGTGATATTATTCGATTTCGAAAAAGTTATATTAGAACAAACTAGAGAATGCAACAAAGTTATTGGAAAGCGAATTATAATATTATTTTTCAGAAAAAGTTTTATCGCAGAACGAAAGAATGGGTCACTGTGTTTCGTCGGTCGGTCGCAACTTGTCTGCATTATATATTAGGCGTTGTTGGTGTTGTTGCTGTTATGGTTGCTTGTTACGAGTTCGTTCGCCAGCACAAATAGCATAGCAGAGTCAGCAACAACGGCTACGTGGAGAGTGTAGTGGCAAAATAAGTCAGGTGCGTGCAGAGTTGAGGGTTCGGAAATATAAAAAAATAAATATTAAATTTTCGGAAACTTATGAAAGTAATATAAAATTAAAAATTTTGCTAACTGTCATAACGCAATTCGGCAATAATGAGAGTTACAAGCTATCTACCGATCAAAAACGCTCGTAAAGGTAGACAATAAGAAGGGAGAGTTGTACTCTAAGTTTTAGAGCACTAAGTACTTTATTGATCTTGAGTTTAAAGAAGGGTTTAAGTCGTGTGAGATTCAGAGAGTGATGAACTTCACTGTCAATAGAACAAACTGCGAAATCTCAGGAGAAATATTCACAGTTGTATACAAATATATATAAAGGATTACCTGGAGTAGATGTATACAAAAAAGAGACTATCTTGTATTTTACAAAATTTTCTCAACATTACAGTTATTGGTAGGAAAATGAAGAGCATACTGGGCGTCCCACCTCAGAACGATAGAACAATCGTTTGAAAATGTCGAATATAATCGTTTTACTTTGTATCATTGAGATACCTTGAAGTGAGGACCCTCTAAAACATTGCATTACCTACACACCACTGTCGACGGTTACGAGCCCGAATAAAGGTACGGCGCGGTTATAGCAGAGGAAAATTGAGCACACGAAGCGAAGCAATTGAACGAGCGAATGAACGAACGAAAATTGACAGCAATGGCAGCGAAAGCAACAAAAACAGCAACGAACAGAGCGACTGACTGCCAAAGTGTATTATATCTACATAAGTGTGTAGCGATGTGCGTTGCTGTGCTGACTCTATATGTATGCATTAAATGTGCCCTGCATGTATGCGTACGTGCGTGTGTGCGCTGGTGTGTCAGGCATGGAATCGACCGTCGTACGGCTGTTGTTGCTATTGTTATGTTTTGCTGTCATTCTCTATCGCTTCGTATATGCATGTGTGCGTGTGGCTGTGTGTGAATGTGAATGTACACTTTTTCATTCCTCCATTCACCTCGTTCGTGCCCGTACTTGGAGCATACTTCAACGTGTTTGTGTGAGTGTGTGCATATTTAACAATACCGAGGAAGTATGTACATACAAAAATACAAATTGCATACATGCATACATACAGCAACAACAATACACATACATATCGACAGAAATATGTGCATGTCGATGGTATTTAGGTACGTTGGCACGTATATACACAAGAACATACATATATGTACATTTAATACATACATACATATGCACATTTGTATCTACAAAATACCCATCCAACTCAACGCGACTCAGCTCGCCTATCGTCCCATTTCACCGCTCCGCGCCCCGCTGCAGCACCCTACAAACTGCTGGTTGTGCTGCTGCTGTATGACGAGCGAGAGCAAGATAGCGCTAAATAAAATAATAATAATATTGCCAGTTGGGTTTTTATACCAAAAACAAAAACAAAAAAATACATTTTATGCTATGTGGATGTTTTTTCCTCAACACCAGCGACTTGAAACGAACTTTGTGCATGCTGAATTTTTAGCTGGTGCTGGTGCTGGAGCTGGTTGTACGTTTGCTAAATGCTATCGTTATAGAAGTAAAAAATAAAAGCAAAAATAATAACCGCTAACAGCAAATCAGCCAGCCATCTAGTAGTGCTCGCTAGCAAGCAAGTAAGCTGGCAATAGCATGAGCCAAGCACTGGTAGACCTCATTTACGCACACATGCATAAATATCAATAATCAATGTGCTTATGGCGTGCTGGTGGAGCCCAAGGTGCACATACACACACGCGTACAGGTATTTCAGCAGGCTCGGCGAAACGGATATGGCACATATACAAGCACTATTTGACACATGCATGTGTGGGCATAGTCGTAAAGCTTCTGCACGGATATGCGTCAAAAAGCCGCGCAACCGATCGATAAGTTGTTGGCGAACGACAGGATCTGCTGGCAGATGAGTTTCGTGCGCCGATACGACAGGTTGGGCGTTTAGGACTTTAGTAAATAAAAAAATGACGATAACGATTTCAGCTTGATTTTGAAATATGTCAGCATACAAAATTCCATCTCTCCTAATAACACAGTGCGAAATTTTGATTAGATAATTCGACAGATATTCATCTTTTTTCGAAAAAATTATTATTATTATGCCGTTAATATTAATCACTAAATTTGTTACATATTTCATGTTCATTGAAGAATCGAAAAAGTGAAAAGTCCCAGTTTTCTCTTATTATCACGTTTAAGAGGATATGGATTCTAGTCATGGTTCAAAAGAAAATATTTTTTATATATCCGCATTTATTGGATCTACTTGTGCAAAGAATGACGTTGAGCTATGCCAAAAGTTGTCAGGATCGGGAAGGACCTCTCGATGTCAAACGATGTTTCAGACAAGGCGACTCCCTATCGTGAGTTCTGTGACTCGTAACGCCTACATCAGCTGTTGTCTTCATCCATGCCTTTGCACCTTACAATAGGACGGGGATGATGAATGACTTGTATAATTTGGCCTTTGTTTGTCGAGAGAGGACTATACTTCTCAATTACCTACCCAGTACGAAGTAGCACTTGTTGGAAATAGTTATTCTACGTTGGATTTCGAGGCTTGCGTCTTGCCCAATCTGGAGAAATCAGATCTAACAGCATGGTACAGCTGTACACTCTTATAGAAAATTGAATCTTCTCTATTCAGCTCCGTAGCTCGAATAATTTTCTCCAGAAGTAGATTTAAAAAGTCGCACGATAGGGTGTCGCCTTGCCTGAAACTTCGTTTCGTTTCGAACGGCTCAGAGATGTCCTTCTGATTTCGACGGAGCTTTTAGTATTGCTCGTCAGCAGCCGTATTAGTTTTACGCGGAAACAAAATTCAGATATACCGACATAAAGGAACTCCTTTTTGTGCTTCAAAAGCAGCTTTGAAATCGACGAAGAGGTGGTGTGTGTCCTCTTTCCAGAGGTGTTTTCCAAGATTTGGCGTATGGTGAATATTGTGTCGGTTGTAGGTCCAATTAGTTTGTTGACAGTGGCTTTAATCTTTCAAACAGTCGATAGAACCTTATATGCGATGTTGATGATGCTTATCCCACGGTAGTTGGCGCAGATTGTGGGGTCTCCCTTTTTGTGTATTGGGCAGAGCACAATTAAATTTAAATCATCTGGCATGCTTTCTCCAACCATATTCGACAAAGAAACTGATGCCTGCTCCGCCGTATTTGA